CCAAGTCCTCGAGTGTGGACCCCTTAGGGGACATTTGGCCAGCCCAGTCTTCCCCATCTTGTCTCCTCCATCAAGAAGGGTAGCCCCAACCCTGTTTCAGTGGTCAGGTGGCCCAGGCAGAGGGATCGTTCCTTGGACCTGCGAGAGCAGACCGGTGCTTCACCCATTCAACTGTAAGAATTATCCACGGCATGGAAGCAGGGCAGCGAGGTTCAGCCTAACCTTTCAATGCCATGTTGGATACTGTCTGCTGAGGTGTCCTAAGAGCCATCTGACAACCTGGAAGATTGTCACTTTGCTCTGAATTACAGCTCAGGTGCTGCAAGGGTGAATGTTAAATGACTTTTATGCAGTAGAGAGAATAATAATCCCAAAAGTTTTATTTTTATTGTCTTGTAGGATCTAACTGTGTGATCCTATTTCAGGCCCCTATTTTACATTGGAGGATTTAAATCTTTTTTCTTGTGTTGTAATAAGCCATAACCAATCTGTGGATCGATGGATAAATGTGTAGCTAGATGAATAGGCAGATAAATAGATACATGGATAGATGAAAGATAAATGGATATATAGATGACTGATAGGTAGATCATATAGAGACAGATCAATATCTCTAAACGTCCTTTGAATCAGCTTTGTTATTCTGTGGTTTCGCTCATTAAATTAAGTTAAATAAAGCATTATGCACTATTTACTTGTGTAAACATTATGACCTAAATAGTTTGACATTCAGACTACATTTAGAAAAGAGATGATAAAAATATATGCTTTGAGGGGCTCCCGGGAGAGGGAGAAAGGACTTGTTTTTTCAGGGCTCGGTTATTCTCAGAACTGGGGGGGGACATAAGGGGCCGGAGGGGAAGCCAGAGTAAAAGCCATATTGCCTGAGGCCACAGCCGCACGTGGGAAGAGCTCCCAGGCTCTGGGACAGGAAGGGTCCAGAGGCCCCCCCTCCTAATTAAGAGGACCCCTGAAGACAAGGCCCCAGTGATATGTCCAGAGAGGGGTCCACTCATTGGTCCACTGTGTAGAGTTCAACACCTCCCATTTTATTGATCAGTGAGGATGGATCAATTTTAAGTAAGGCAGTTACTAAGGTTAAACCAGTCACATTCCTAGGAGGAATATCACCTCCTCAAACTCAAGCTGAATCCACACAGCAGGCCTGTCTGCAATTTGGGGGGACCAAACCCTTTTGTGCCAGCCACGGTTCTGGTAGGAAAGGCAGCCCAGGTGCTGCTGGGGGTGTCTGTGGGAGCTGCAGCCATTCAGCACAGCAAGTTTGGGAAGCCCTCTTTCATGAGTGTCTCTGATTGTATTGTTGCAGCCGCTTCAATATTCTGAGTCAATTGAAAATGTTTCCCTCTCATGGTCATTTTGACTTTAGGGAAGAGCCAGAAATCACATGGTACATGATCCGGTGAACGCGGCGGATGAGGACGCGGTGTCACGTTTTCACAGCCTGCCTGGCTGGTAGATGGCGCTGAGCAGCAGCGTCCACCTGACTTTTTATCACACCTCATAAAGACCTTCATGGAAGGGGACCCCCAGAATTGCCTCAGAAAGTGCAGGAATGATGAAGTGCGCTTGAAGAGAGGAGCAGTGTTCTGAGGGGGATTACTGGCAATTTGTTTCCTATTATGATACATTCCTGAATTGAAACATTCACCATATTTTTGGTCACCCCTTATATCCTGGGTCTTGCCCATCACACCTCTCCCACAGGGAAGCTGTGCTCCCTCCACTGGTCACCTCTGAGGTCCTCCTGCTTTTCCCTGAGGAGGGCCCAGGTCAGCCCTGTACCCCCCCATCAAGTGCAGACCAGCCCCTCCAGTACCAAGCACCTCACAGATCCTTTCATGTCCAGCCCCTTCCTCCACCTCTGCTCTGGGCCACAGGCCCTTTGAAGCACCATCATTGTTATGATTATTGCTATCTCTGTAGTCATTACGTTACTATTTGTAACTCAAAGAAAGTGTGTCTCTGTCACCTTTCCATTGCTGGAAGAAAATATCTGACTCTCACAACTTAGAAGCAGAAAGATTTAGTTTAGCTCAAAGTTTCAGAGGCTTCAGTCCATAGTTAATTAGCTCCAAGGCAGAGAAAAGCAGCTATGGCATCCAGGAAGCAGACAGCAGAGAAAGAGCCAGAGAGGAAGGGGTCAGAGACCAGATATAGTCCCTCGGATCACGCCTCCATGACCCACATTCTCTAGTTAAGTCACTTAGCTATGAACTCATCAGTGAGTTAACCCATTGATGAGGGTAGCAGCCTCACAATCCAACCCCCTCTCCCAGAGACTCTTAATCCAGTCAAATTAACAGTGAAGATTGACTTTGACAGGATTTTAGGGCATTTATAACAAAAGTATACAGCATTACCCCCTCTATATCTGAAGACATTCCCAGATTCAATGAACAGCAGATCAAACATGCTTAGAAAAAACTGTGTCCATATGGAACATATCATTATTTCCTTCCATAAATTGCATAGTATTTATGTAGCATTAGATATTATAAGTCATCTGCAGATGACTGAAAGTGGGGGTCTCCAACCCCTGGGCCACAGTACTGGTGCATGGCCTGTTACGAACCAGGCCACAAATAGGGAGTGAATGGTGGGCAAGGGAGTAAAACATCACCGTTACGTACAGCAATTCCCCCTAGTTTGCAAAACTGCCTGAATTCTGCTCCCATCAGATCACTGGCAGCCCTGATTCTCATTGGAGCTCAAATCCTTTGCAAACAGTGCACGTGAGGGATCTAGACTGCAAGCTCCTTTTACAAATCTAATGACTGCGATCTGAGGTGCAGCTGAGGCAGTGATGCTAACACTGAGAAGTGCCTGTGAATACAGATTAACACTAGCACACATCTGACTGCAGAGACCATAATAAATCACTTTCTTGCAGACTCATATCCAAACTTCATCAGTGAGCAATAAGTGACAATTAAGCTGCATCCAGCAGCAGGCTTTACAGTGGTGAAAGAGTTGATGCACTTCAGTTGTACAGCATAACTGGTAGCAGCCTTTAAGTCAGAATCGGACACTTATTTTAGTTCACGTGTGCCTTTCCTGTTATTTATTTACCACTTCCATCCATTCCTCTTTCCCACACTGTGTACTTGTCTCAGTCACAGGTTTGGTAAACCCATGAGTTAACTCCAGCCCAAAAGAAAACAGCAAAACACCACTAGAGTTTCTTGCAAAGGGCAGAAAATCAATGATGACACAGCAGAAGATTCTAAGACTGCTAGGAAAGCTGCACTTAAAAGAAAATACCAAGAGTCTTATTCAAATTATAGGTTCACTGAAATGGGTGATTCACATTCTGCAAGCATGCTTTGTATAATATGTGACGGCCAGCTACCCAACAAAGCCATGAAATCTTCAAAGCTGCTTTGCGGCATGGAGACTAAGCCTTTGAAATTTTTCAAAAGAAAAATATGTGAACATAAAGTACTGAGGCAAGTTGGGTGTGGTGGTGCACTCTTGTAATCCCAGCACTTGGGAGGCTGAGGCAGGCGGATCATTGCAAATTCGAGACCAGCCTCGCCTACAAAGTGAGCTCAAGGCCAGCCAAAAAGAAAAAAAGAAAAAGAACTAAGGTGATTACTGAAGGCCTTTACGTCATCAAATGTGTCTGCACTGACAGCATCGTTCTTAGTGGCTGACTGCATTACTGCAGCCAAGAAGCCCTTGAGACCTCAGATATGTTAAGACAACTTTCAGTCTCCATACATTCTGGGTTAAAGCCAAGGCAAAACATCCTGAAGGTGCCACAGAAATGCTGAAAAGCCAGTTCCATTTCCAACGTCCTGTTTTTGCAAAGCAGGGTTTTCTGCAGTGACAGCAACCCAAATGAGATTACGGGGTAGACAGTCATCAGCAGCATACTTTGGGTGCTGCTGTCTCATACTGTCCACAGGTGGGACCATCTAGTTGCAAGAAAACAAGCTCAAGACTTACACAATACTGCATTTTGGTGAGTTATAATAATAATAAAGTACATAATAAGAGTAATGCACTTGAATGATGTCTAAACCCTCCCCCTCCACATTCTGGAAAAATCGTCTTCCATTACACCAGTCACTTGCGGTAAAAAATGTGAGGACCACTTATTTAAAGAAGAGGAGAAGAAAACAAAAAGAATACAGGAGGATGTGTGCAGTTTTTATGCAAATACTGTGCTTTATGTATCAGAAACCGAAGCATCCAAAACTTTTGGGATCTTCAGAGGGTCCTAGACACAGTCCCCCATGGACTGAGGGACAACTGTGTATACACAGTAAAACAGTAAGTTAGGTAATAAAAGATGGGAGAATGGGCTGGGGATTTAGCTGAGAGGCGTAAGCGCCTGCCGGGCAAGCGCAAGGTCCTGAGTTCGATCCCGCCAAAAAAAAAAAAAAAAAAAAAAAAAAAAAAAAAAAGATGGGAGAATGATTTTGTCAGAAGTCGAGTTTGAGGATGATTACTGTTTCCAAACAGCTCAGCTAAGGATTCAGGTGGCTGCACACCTGTTCCTTAGTCAGGACCAGTCTTCCCTGGTCTTGAGTGTGACAGGAATTTGCTCTGTTGATCCCCTCTATCCTCCCCTGAATGCTGTCTGGTTCTTTGGGCTTCAGATCCGGACTGAGTCTGGCCTGGGAGACTGGGAGGGGAGGGTCCCGCCATTGTGGGTACATCAGAGCCAAAACTGGAGGAAAGAAGTTATAAACCAAATGCCCTCCTCCGGAACAGAGCCCATGAGGCTCCTCCATCCCCACCCAGCGCCGCACACAGGACCCCACCTCTGGGCCTCCGGGCAGGGGCAGCTTCCCCTCAGGCCGGCCCTCCCAGAGCATTGGGCTCACAGAGGTGGCTGGGAAAAGGAAAGAATTCCAAGCTGTGTGGTAGAGTATAAAGAAGGCGACACAGGAGGCGGCAGGAGAGATGTACACAGCCATCGCGTGCAGCCTGGTCAGTGTCCTGTCCACGGAGCCCAGCCCCGGCAGACTCACCCTCGTCACAGTTGCTCCCGGTGAAGCCAGGGCAGCACCTCCACTCCAGCGCGGTCACCGTGCGGTAGGACACCCTGTACGTGGGTCTGATGAGGGTCCTGTAACTAACACAAGCACAGTGTCAGGGGGTGCGGGCTCCCTGCCACCCCAGACCCACTGCTGCCAAGGCAGCCACACTGCTCTGCTCACCCCAGGCTGGGGGCGGGCACCCAGCAGTGGACCTGTCACCCAGCGCCTCGTTCACTGGCCGTGTGATCTAAAGGTCCTTCTGACCCAGTCTTTCTCCACCTCTCCCAATGTGGCCACCTGTCGTGGGAAATGTCCTGCACATTGAGCAAGATGCAAATATAGAAAAGAAAAATACTAAAGCCTGGCAAACCTCCGAACACCCTCCCTCACAGATTCTAACCTTTTCCCTGGCATTATTCCTTCTGCTTGATTTGTCTAATGAGTACGTACTGAGCAAGCACTTTGTGCCACCCTGCGGTCACAGTCATATCCACATCCCTGGACGTTTCAATGACATCTCTGAATTCATTAGTGGGATGCTTACAGTAATAAAAAGCTCCCGAAACTGAGCATGGTAGGGCACACCTGTATTCCCTATGCTCTGGGAGGCTGAGGCAGGAGGATCACAGGTTCCAGCCTAGCCCAGACAGCTTAGCGAGACTCTGTCTAAAATAAAAAATGAAAAAGAACTATGTGAAGGTCCTAAATCCAATCCTCGCTACCACCAAAACACACACACACACACACACACACAGAGGCATACACAACTCCTGCCTTTAAAAAATTTAAAAGTGAAACATAAAGTTTAAATTTTTAAAAACAGATAAAATTTAAAATAAAATTTCAAACAGTTCCTGAAAAATACTGTGGACCCCCATGGTAAAGGACCACACACCAGTGTGGAAATCCTCCCACCTCAGCTTTTTAGATAGGGTCTCACTGCGTCACCCAGGCTGGCCTCAAACCTTCGATCCCCCTGCCTCAGCCTCCCAAGTCCTAGATTAAAGGCGCATACCATCACACCCAGGTGGTCCTTACAAATAAGTCTGATACTATTTTGTGAAACGTCAAGAAGAGTGGACATTAAATGTGCAGCCGAATTTCATAAAGGGGTGCGTTCAGCTCTGCTTATTCGCTTTACGTGCATCATTATAACTTTGCTGCTTGCTTGTGTTTGCACAACTTCCCCTTTAAAATGAAACAGCATGACTTCAGAAAGCTAAATCTGCTGACATGGAGCAAATTAATCGGTGAATGGGAAAACGATGAATTAATTGGGAGCAGCAGGCGCGCCATCCAGAGATGCCCTGTTGACAGGAAAACTTAGGAGTTGAAGAAATAACTAAAATTGGATTTCAGAAGAGGGCTCTGATTCTGGAAAATCCCGTTCCACTAATTTCTCTTCTTGAAAATCCTCTCACTCATGTTTCATCAGCATGCTGGCAACCAGCCCCCCTGCCTGGGAAGGGACCTTCCAGCGAGGAGCAGCCCCCGCTGAGAGAGAGCTGCAGGGCCAGCTGGGGAACAACTGCGTCAGGCCAGGCGGTGGCGGGCAGGGGAGGGCGAGTCAGCCCTTACAGCCTGGACTGGGACAGACAGACGGTGAGCCTGGGTTCAAACACACCGTCTGCACTGCGAACACACTCACATTTGCACACTCTCATTCCCATGCTCAAACACACTTCTGCACTCACAACCCACATTTGCACAGTCACGTAACACACATTCACATGCTAATGTTGATGTATGTTCTCTCACCTCACACTCCTGCACACACTCACATGCAGTGGCACACTTGTAAACACACCAACGCATTCTCAGGACTTACACACAAGCGGGAGCTGACACTTACACCTCCTCACTTTACCACAGGACCACCAGTGTCACGGGTCCTAAAGGCTCAGAGCCATACTACAGGCACCCAGGAGTCCAGGGTGAGGTCAAAAGCAGCTGGTTCTCCCCCATTCGGGGTCATCACTCCAAGCTACATAAAGAAATCACAAGTCAGGCGTGGTGGCACCCGCTTGTGATTTCAGCACTCAGGGAGGCTGAGACAGAAAGATGAGTCCAATCCAGGCTGGACAATGAGACTCTGTTTCAAAATAAGAAATAAAAAAAAAAAAAAAAAAGCCAGGGATGTAGCTCAGTGCAAAGGCCCTGAATTCAATCCCCAATCAAGAAAAAAAAAAAAAAAAAAGCAAAACTCACGGGGATGAGGAAAGGGTCAATTGCCATAACCTGAGTGCACATCCCTTGAGGAATGTGTTAAGCCCCACTCCAATATCCTCCAGGAGGAATGGGGTGTTTTCCCCCAGCTCCCAGAACACTTTTGGGGTGGACATTACCCAGTCCCCTGGGAGTTTGGCAGCCATGAATCTGACCTTTGCTAGCCACCCTCCTTGGATAGGGCAGTGCTGTGGGACCCCAGAGCCCCCAAAACACAACTTGGAAGTCTTAAGAGGGACTCCTCAGGAGGACCACCTGGAGAACATGACCTGGCAGCAGGGAGGGGTCCTGGAAAGCTTGTGGCCCAGGGCAAGGGCATGAGCTGGCAGGTGGGGGAGGGTCCTGCAGGGCCGAGATGCCCAGGCCAGGCGAGTGCCATCCTGGCAGATCTGAGAAGGACTCCCTCAAAGGGGCCAATAGTTACAGGAGTGCACCCAGGGTCCCCAGCGCCAGATGACAGCAGCCCAACCACATGGGCCTCTCCTGTCCTCCCTGTGCCACTGTATCCTCGTCATCACTGACAAGTGAGAAATAAAAACTGAGAGAGGCAGCCGAGCCACCCCGTGCTGCTACAGGCCCAGCTGCAAGAGGACGGAGCCTTAATTCAGGGGAAAGAAAAAGTTTCTTGAATGAGGTTGTTCTTTCCACTAAAAGATCAGAAAAGCTACAGAACCCATCTGGGGATGATGGCCAGGGTAGGGGATAGGTCACAGGATTTATTACATGCAGCCCGCAGATCTCAGCAGGATGGGTTGAGGCGCCCTTCAGGCTCTGCCCTAAACGCACTAAGCAGACTTGCACAGTTAACCGTTCAGACTCCCCTCCTGGCCTGCAGGATGAGGATGCACTGGAGACCAAGACGCTGGCTGCGAGGTTTGTGCAAGGTTTGCAACTTGCAGATCAACTTTGCATTCCCTGCAGCATCCTCCTCATCACAGGGAGAGTCCAGATGCTGAGACACTTGCGCTGGCCCTTCTCCAGCTGGGACAGCACCTCCACTCACCCCCACCCCATCCCAGTGCCGCATGCCAGCCCTCACCTTCCAATCCCCAAGGCCCCAGAGGCATCAGACATTCGCACCCCAGTCCATACCTTGAACGCTGATGCTGTTTGTAACAATAATAATAAAATGCCTTCAGTTAGTGTAGTGATTGATAGACTGTGCCAATTTGAGACATTTAGAAGTTTAAGTGACTCAGCAAGGGGTCAGGCTTCTCACTTCATAAACATCCTCATCCTGTGAAAGAGGAGGGCATTGAGACGGTGGGAGTGCTACACCCGCCCTGGGGGCAGGGGGGCCTGCTTACAAAATAGGGAAGAAAAGAAGCTTGCCCTCCTCCTGCTGCTTTTGCTGCCTTCTGCCACCTTGCACAGTTGCCCCTCATCATTCCACCCTGCCTTGGTGCCAGCTGATTAAGGATTGCAACTTCCACAAACTGTGAGCTAAATAAACCTTTCCTTCCTGGACAGTTGGGTGTCAGGTATTTCATCTCAGCAATGAGACAAAAGTAACCAAGACAGGTGATTACTCAGGCACTGTGTTGATGCAGAGTAACCCTAACAAGTGAATGCCATTGTTATCCCCAATATACAGATGGGGAAACTGAGGCACAAAGTGTTAAAGAACTTTACAAGTCACAGTGCTGGAAGGCAGTGGAAGTAGGATCGGTTCCGGTATCCAGTCTCTCTAGTGCATTTTTATTTAGTACAGAGGAAACACTTTTCATCCCAGCAGCTGCATGAGGATCCCAGTCTCACCCGCTGCACTCAAAGGAGAACTCATTCCTCAAAAGCTCTCTTCCTGCCCTGCATCCCCAGGCCTGGGACGGGATCCTGCTGTTCTGGGTCCAGAAGGCTGCAAAGGAACCAGATGACCTATAAAATCCAGGTTGGGGCGTGCCAGTAGGTGGCGCCACTTCACCGACCAGCAGGCCGGTAGCTCAGCTTGGTAGAACCTTGGGAGTCACTGGGATACCAAAGGCAGATTTAGATGTGGTGGCCCGTCACCCAGCCTAGGCGAGGCAGGATTTAGCTCAGCGGCATAAGCACCTGCCTTGCAAGCAGGCGGTCGTGAGTTCGATCCCCGGTACCGATAAAAAGGGAAAAGACAAAAAAAAAAAGAAATAATTTGAAAAGAAACCTCACCAGGGCATAAATACCTGCCTGGCAAGCACAAGGTCATGAGTTTGATCCCCAGCACAAAAATAATAATAGAATGCCTTTGGGATCCAGTTGGCAATTGTAAAATGCAGATCCAGCTTGGTGACAACCCACTCTCCAAAGCTTCCATGGCTCCCATAGACTAAAGACCAAATCCATTAGGCTGGCTGATAAGGCACTGCCGAGCTCTCGTCCTCCCCTCCTCCTATCACCAGCAGCAGGGCTGCCACCACCCTCATAGCACAAACACCAGGGCTGTGACGTTCTTGGCCCCAGTGCCTTTGCACATGCAGGCTCCGCTGCCTGCCTGAGAAAAGCCCAAGGAGCTTTCAGAGTTTTACTCAAATGTTCCTTCCACTATGAAGCAGCTCTGTCCCCAGGGCAGAGTCCATAGGCTCCCTCCCTGCCGCTCTTCTCCCACACATCTTATTCTGAGCTTGTTATAATCCTGCACTCATTTATTCACTCAGCAAACAATTGCCAAGAGCCTCTTTGTGCAGGCAACAGGAATATGAGAAGGAGAAAGGCAGGCATGGACTCCACTCTGCCATGGCACATGGCTGGAAGGGGTGTGAAGAATAGCACAAATGACAGAACCATACATGTGAACATATGAGCCACACTGGGACGTGCTAAGCAGGAAAGCACTGAATTCACTGCTCATTTTTATTGAAATATAGTTTACATGCAGTAGAAAAGATAAATCCAG